TTATTATTTTCCATACCATATAGGACGTGCATGGCGTTGTGTGATTATATGAAAACTTATTTCTATAGAACTGTACATAACTTAGGTTTATCTGGATGCATCTGTTTTTCTACTGAAGCCATTTATTTTTTCTATCTTTAGTTTTTATAGGTTGTGATTTTTAATAATTTTAATATTAATATTCCCCTAATTCCAGTATTATTAACGGTGGGGTGTCATGTGTACTAGAATATATTTAAAATTGGAAATAATTTTCACTTTTTATGACAAAACAAAAATCAGGTGTGTAAGGATTATTATTTGATTTAAATATTACTATCAAATCAAATAATTATTGTTTTGTGACCGAGGGAAAATCGAATTACTTATTTTGGCCTTTAATACACTATAAACTAAGTAGAAATATCTCCTTTATCGACATTATTTTTTTTCAATACTCGTGACGCATTCATGCGTCATAAGTTCGTATAGTCATTACGACAGCCTAGATCTGTTATTTCCCAATAAATTAATAACTACTGCATTTAACATACTCAACGGTGATGACGCACAAATGCGTCATATGTTTTAATAACGCTGCGCTTAATGATAACTTAATATACCAAACCGAGTTTCCTAGCAAATTACGTCTTTCGTTAGGAATCAATGAAAGAGTACTCACTTACAACATGAGATCTATCTATCAGCAGACTCAGTTCACTTGCGAATTCTGATTTAAACTTGCAGATTCACTCCGGATTTTATGTATGGCTCGAACGAAATCATGATTACTACCTACTACGAAGTGAGATCGCCAACTTGTTAAGCTATCATTCCGGCAAATAAGTGGTAATGTTTTAAAATCAAGATAATACTATTCAATTTTCTACTATTAAAATATCTGTCGATCTTCCCATCTTCTTGCAATTTTCATAAATGAGTAGGTAAACTTCTTTCTATGATATTCTTATATAACTAGCTTGTTTATTCGTGAATTTAATAGATGTAGATTAATGTTGTTTCCTTAAAAATTGCGCATGCTTTCTGGGCTTCTACATTATGTCTTGCTGAAGCGTTTTTCGTTTAGTGTTCAACAAAGATACAGAGCTAGTTTTAAATAATAAATAAAACATAAATATAACATTAAAAAATTTAGCTGTTTGCTGAAGATACGTTAACATTTTCAACGATCTCCACCTACTTATACGCATAAGTGCGTCATAAGTTCGGATAATCCCTACTACAGCGTTGATCTGTTGTTTGGCATTAAGTTGATAACTACGTGCTTTTAACATACTCAACAGCATTGACGCAGAAGTGCGTCATATGGTTTAATTGCTGAACTTAATAGATCAATATAAACCAGAATAGTTTCTGAAATAAAAAATAACCAGACTAATACTAACAAACCAGCGAATCATAAAAAGTGAAAAAAGCATTTCCAATAAAAATTTGTCTATAATTTAGTTGTATGTATATGACGTTATTGTTTCTTTCTTGTTACTTTTGAGTGAATCATCGCAATATTTATTTAAGCATTGGTGATGTTTGTAATATTTAAATTTAAATTGTTAGGACCAAAATAGATTTCCACATTTCATATTTATTGTATAAAGAGTTGCAGATGTTTCAATTATAATGAAGTTAAATATTGGTAAAATAAATTATAAAATATTTAACATTTTGTTTTATTTATTCCATTTATAAATCCGTATAAATATATAAATGAAAAAGAAAGAAAAATGCAAGACCCTACATTCAGGCTATAGGTATGTCATGAACATTTATGTTAAAGACACCCTCCAAAATAAGTGGACTTAGTAGTCATCAAATGGCTTAAACAAGAACAAAATTGACTTTATAAATATCTACTAAAAAAAAGACGCTTTAATCACAAAGTAGTAGAACAGTATTAGAGTGCAACGTACAGTAAAATGTGTAACATAAAACCAATTTGAACAGCTTAAAGAAACGTTGGTGGACGTCCTAAGAAAATACAAAAGTGCCAAGAAAAAAATTAAAAATAAAAAACTCAAGAAACTACTACTACCATACAACTACATACTTCATCTGATAGTAATAGCAATTATTTTTAATTTGCTGGTAATTTCATAGTACGAATTTGCCCTTCTGATCTGGAGACGAGCTGCCTTGCAGGTGACCAGTCGCATTCAATTTTCGAAGTGCGTAATTTGGCAAATTATGTATTTTTGCTGATTGATGACTTGTCTCGAGTTTTGATTCTAACTATTCTGATTTATGTCGTATTGTTGTTGTCTCTGTTCCATTATTCTTTTCTTTTCCTTATTCTACTTCTTGTAGTCATACATTTATGTTTTTTCTGACAATTGTTTCTCGTCATCAATCTTAGTCCTGTTTCCTGGTCCATTCCCTACTTCGTTTTATAATTGCTCTTATAATCCAACTGCATTTCAATTTTATAATGGGAGGATGTGTTACAAAAAGAAAATGTTGATAGATAATAAAAATCAAAATTATTGAAAGAAAACAAAAATTTTGATGGGAAAAAATTTCTTTTCTGTTGATAGTTTTCTGCTACGTAAAATTTTTGAACCGGTGATTTAGCTAGCACAAAAATTAAATTTAATATTTTGACATGGAAGCGGTCATTATAAAATATAAATAACCATAATAAAAATATATTTTATTAATTCATGTAAAATTTATCTTGACTGTCTGCGCCATCTATACGATAAGTGTTAGACTCATGGAATCAATAAAGAAGGAAACTGTAACGTGCTGGAAAGTCAAATACGGAGAAACAGATGATCTCCTCGCATTTGTGTTATCCCAATAGTAAATCTTGCAAGTTCGAAATCGTTAGAAAATGAGTAGGGGAAGGAACACTCAGACGCAAAACTTTCAATGACCAAAAGCTACTTTAAACTAATATTGTATCTCTTTATTTGGTATAAACCTAGTTCCTTTTTTATGTTTTGGTGTTTTTTCTTTTGATTTAATCAGTTCTATTTTTCCGGGGTATCCGTAGCTATCATCGTCTTTCTTTTGCGTTTTTTGTTGCCCTCCCCAGATTTTCTTGTCGAAGCTTTAGGATAACCCTTAAAAACTGTTGGGCTAACAAAGTTTTTGTGGTATCAGTATTACTTGGACATGGATTTTCTACATCTAGAGATCCATTTATATTTTCAGCAGCATTTTCAAATGCGACAAGTGGTCTGTCACAAAAGGTTACAAAAAATCTTCTTTAGTGAAGATATGCCGATTAAATGGAAATATTCCGGTTTTTAGAAAAGTGCTTGTGATGTTAACTGTCATTCGTCATGGATATGCTGTGCCCACACAGGCTGCTACGTTATAAATTATAAATGTTTGACCGGGATCGTTCATCATCCACCAGAGATGCCACCTTTTACTAATTCAATAGCCTGTCTCATCAGATCTTCAGAGAGTCTTCCTATTTTCCGATTTGTTTTTTTTTTGGCATTTTCTTTCTGTAAGAGACATTATTTTGCAAATGATCTGGCTTATACAAATATAAGGGAACATTGAGACAGAAAAGGAACAGTGGGACGTGTCTCACTGTTCTATCTGCTGTGTTGTCTCACTGTTCCATAAAAATTCGTTAATAAAAGTCGAAGAAAAAAACTAATAAAATGTATACAAAAATCATTTGTTTTAATTTAATTGTCATGTAAAATGGTTTACTTTTTAGTTAAAATAACTTACCTTGTCTACAAAACTTCAATTTCCGTAAAAACACCGGCCACGTAGATACGGTATATTTACTACGACGCACTTATTTCGAATGACCAGCGATAACTAAAACAAACATTTCTTGTTTCTTGTTGAATCTCAACGGTTTCTTGTTTGCTTCACTTCAAGTTGGTAAATGGACTGCCAGAGTGATGACGTAGATTTTATTGACATCTGTCATTCAAACAAACCTTGTTTAGTGTAATAGTGCTGGCGAATCGCCTCGCAGCGAAGCCATCAAAATAGAATAACAACCTTGTTTAGTGTGGATAATGTGTATTTTTTCGATATTTTTTTGTGCAATATCGAAGTATTCTAATAGTTACTACAACAATTTTACAAGGTTCTGTAAATAATAAAGCATGTTGTTTAATAAAAATAGCAATAAAATGCAAGTATCAATAAAGGAAGGTTAGAATTTCTTTAATTTAAACTGTTAAACTATATTAATAGAAACAGAACACTGAATTATGATGGTATTATCGTAAAAAAAACAGTATACTTAAAATAAAAAGCAGCAGAGGAAGCAAAATGTTATTATAGACATTAAAAAGTATTGAGATTGGGCATTTCAACTTTTGTTTGGAAAGTAATAATAACAATATGGCCGCCGTGACGTCATACTTCGGCTGTCCGTAGGCATGTTCGTTTAGTTCTACCGGATAATTACCGAACGTAGTAATCTCTACCGAGTTTGTCTCAGTGTTCCTACCATCTCACTGTACCTACCTCTACCCTATGGAACAAGTAAGAAAGAATGAGTATTTTATATGAAATTTCTATCTGTTGGTGCCTTTTTTCTCCTACTTTTGGACATTAACTTCTTCATCAGATTTCATATCTTAACCAACTACTGATCGTCTTTGATATTTGATTTGGCTTTTTGTTGGGTGTTTTATAATCTTTCATGTTGTCTCAGTCATCAATGAAATAATCCCCAGTTCATTGAAAACTGCCACCTACTTGTTAGAAGAGAAAGAGCTTTTAGTTTTGTAGTAGGTGCTTAAATCTTCTAAAAAAATTTCTGTAGTTAGATTTATAGGTTATTCATTCCACTTCATATTGGAAAACATAGATAGTTAGTTATATAAATATCCCTTTATGAGTCAAACATGTTAGCTTTTAGCCAGATTTGAGATAAATACACATTTAAAAAGTAAAATATAGAAATATGATTATGTTCTTTATTTTAATACAATAAATACTGTGGAAACAAGTCATTTTTTATTCATATGTCTAATAATAAAATTCGTCCTGTGATTTGCTATTAGCGTGTGTGTTGATTATTATTCAATATTTTGGTATAACCATTTAGAGATGCCCCAGCTATTTATGCCATTCACTTCAACGGCGTTTGTTTGAAAGCAAGTTATAATGTTGCCGTTTTCTTCAGTCGAAACTTCAGAAGTATCTGTAACTTTCACTTGAATTTGATAGTCTGTATTACCTAAAATTAATTGTAAAAGAAATTTTAGTGTTTGTGAAACTAAACTAAATAAAATAATAATATCTAATGTTACAATAAAACACTGAAAACTTTGTTTTCAAACTTCCACAAAATTTATTTTAACTTATTATCACTACAGCTGTTTCGGCTGATTGCCTTTCTCAAGTGATCTATTTTTGGCATGCGTTTACACTTTATAGTCTCTAATGAAATAGGTTGAGGAGGGGAGATCTGTTTGTCTCAAGTTGGTCATTCAGAATTATATCTGTGTTTTTTAATTTGTTTATTTCCATAGATTCTAACAAGGATAACTTAAGACCTTTATTTTGAATGTGAAGAATTTTAAATTCGTCATTAAAAGAATGATTGTGATATAGAAGGTGAAGTGCGTATGTAGAATATGTTTTTCTATTATTGAAAGCCCTTTTATGTTCTGCTATTCGTTTATTAAAGTTTCTACCAGTTTGACCGATATAAGTTTTTGGGCAGTCGTCACATCAAGTAGATTAAGATCACGAAAAAGCTTTCTAAAAATCACGATCTCTTCCCGAAGAGCCAAAGACGCGCCGAATACACATATGGCAAGCATCAGCTACAACACATTTTGCTTCCTCAGAGGAAATGGTCGCTGGACACAATTTGATATACCCACATGGAAAGCGCTAAACAGACTTTAACGCTGTGCTAGTAACCTGAAGAAATGGGAATACCAGGAGGACGATACCTGGGTCTGTGGCGCGATTCAGAATAGTCACTAACTACTATTCTAATATTTAACGCATTTGTTTGGTTTGATGTTAGCCTTTAGTAGCCGTTTACCCTTTAGTAGATGAAGAAAAATTGTTGAATGATGTTAATGAAAAGTTAAATGAAAAATTTAACTTGTTTTATTTGTCATGAGAATTAAACTGCACTTTCCAAACCTTTAAAAGTATGGTTGAAGCTTTAGATTAAAAAACTGCCCTTTTTTGAGTTGACAAAAAAGAACTATTTAACAGTTGGTGTTTTCTAATTCTTGCTATTATAATTTCGACTACAAGATTTATTGATGGTTTTTAATGATTGAGCTGAACAAACAATACCTGCTCTTATAGTAAATCCATAATTTTCTGGCGGATCTTTTATTCCTCCATATTTGTATAGCTGTAAACTAGAATTTTGAATTGGATGTGTTTTGTTTTCTTTAGAGCTGTACACAAATCCCTCAATCATTCTAAAACATAAATTATCTGTAAACTTTTCACTCGCTAAATGAAACATAAATTCAAATAATTGATGATAGTGAATTTCTGAGTAAAATACTAACATTATTGAACCTACCGAGAAGTAATTATTGGGTTGCAGGTATGGCGTAAACTAAAGCAATCTCCTTCATCTGTAATAAATCGATGCACACATCCCTTCCAAATGTAACTCGCATTATTATGGCCCAAGTGACGACTTTTGATTGCATCTATTTTCAGTTTATGTACTTGACCATCTATTTTTACTTTTACTATCAAAGTCCCAAACTGTTCGTAACACGTAGTTCTAGATCTGTACAAACCAAATAAACAAACTTTTATATCAAGTAAAAGTGAACAAAAAACTATTATATAAACTTAAAGTGTATAAAATCACTCCCAAATAGATTACATGACAAGAAAAGAAGATATATGTGAAATTAAATACTACAAAGTAACAGCTATTGAGATTTTGAGCGAACCACATAAGCTCAAGATTCAAAAAATCAAGTGTTAAATGTTAAAAGATGTATAAGATGTTTAGGATCAAGTTGGATCAGATTATATTCCTGGGAAAGTATGGACAGCTTTATAAGAGATAGGAAGTTGGCTAACAGGTTTGTTTAATATAATTATGGTAGTAAGACAGATTATAATTATAATTATGGTAGTAAGAAAAGGTTACACAAGCTAGAAGAACAATTGGCTGCCTAAATGGAATACTTTGGAGCTCTGAAAATAGGAATAAAGCGAAAATATAACATCTATGAGTCACTAATTAAAAGCAGTCTACTTTATGGAGCAGAAACTTGGAGAAAAACCGAGAACAACAGAAAAAAATTAGAAGCTGTAGAAATGGATGTGTTTAGAAGATCGTTAGGTATATCCCGCAGGGAAAGAGTTCGAAATGAGGAAGTAAGACGAAGAATTGGAATAGATGGTTACTTAACAACAGACATTGAGAGGAAACAGTTGATTTGGTATGGTCATGTTCAAAGAATGGAAGACACAAGACTACCCAAGAAGATTATGCAGTGGGTACCACCAAACCGCAAAAAACGAGGAAGACCCAAGAAGACATGGAAAGAAGGGGTAACTAAAGCAATGAGTACAAGAGATCTTAGATACGGCCAATGGGATGATAGAAGGACGTGGAAGTTAGGCATCGGACAACGTCGAAAGACGTTCTAAAACCGATATATATATATATAGTAAGACAGATGCGAGATGGATGAAGAAGTATCTCCATAATATAGTATGTTATATGTTATATAGAATATCGTAAATCATATATGTTGTCAAAAGTGGGTCATGACACGAGCAGTTATGTTTGGATTACATACACTTACATAGTGTAACAAACTCCTCGTAGGCCTGTAACAATGTACGTGTATAAATTTAAATAAAACATAGCGGAAAGATTTTCTTGAGTTCGAGAGTTGGCCTTTTTTTATCCCATAAGGAGCAACGTGGCACTTGTTTACAAACTAGGGAGATATATAACATTGCGTCGGTCAGATAACCAAAGACCAAAGGAGATCTGGAGATGATAATAACATAGAAATTTAATTAGGAAAGTGAACACCTTGTCTATATAATTAAATAATGGTGACTATAACGTAATCTTTCTTCTTTCTTACCTTTTTAAATTAAGAAAGTGGTCTATGTTCCATTTTTCGTAGGCCAAGCATTTCGCCAAATTTAATGCATCTGCATCTTCAAAATCAAAGACGGGTATATCAGTTACCCATATACCTTGAACTTCAACTGTATGGGTTTTACTAATATTCTGAAATAAATAAATATAGGTTATTTTTATATTAATAAATTGTTTAAGCCAACAATAAATAAAAATTGGTCCTATTTCTAATACTCTGGTTATATCACCTAAGTGTCTCTTGTTGTTGGTTTTGTAATTGCCTATATATATATATATATATAATATATATATATATATATATATATATATATATATATATATATATATGTATATATATATAATATATATATATACTGTAAAAAAGCTTTCTAGATTTTAGTTCTTGGGGTGATCAGCAGAGAATGGGAGACTTAGGCTACCCCCACCACTACCACTCTGACGTCACAAAGCCCCGCCCACAAGTCCCTTTTGATTATGTTATCTTCTTAACAATCTCTTTTTATTTTTCCTGTCTCTACTTTTTCAAATCGTATTTCTCCGTTTTATCTTTTTAAAGTTCTTGCAGCCACTTTGATATTGGTCTTCTCCCTTTCTTTTTTCCTTGCAGAATCCATTCTATAATAGTGTATGTCACTGCTTCATCTGCTGCTGTGCTGCTTGCCAAGTGTGGCCTAGCCATCAAGTTCTATATTGATTTATTTTGATCACGATATCTTCTTTCAGTACTTTCTTAATCTCTGTATTTGTTCTGCGTCTATATTCATCTTGATCTGTTATTATTGCCTACATACACATTTAAAGTTAATTTCAAACTTTTAAACAACAAAACTAAAAATATACACCTATTGTAAATAGTATAAAATAAATAATAAATGAAATAGTAAGACTTACGTCAAACTCAGGAATTTCTCCTCTGTAAGTCACTCTCCACGCTTTCAGCGCTTCAATTACGTTCAGTTTAAAACCATCGGTAGAAAAGGTTTCTCCATGATCTTCATTTTTATCTCTACATGTGTCCAAATTGATAGAAGCTTTTAATTTACTATCACCAATTTTCAGGAATATATATCCTGTTTGTTTACTCTTGCTTCTGGTAATTTTAAAAATCAAAGAGTCTCCATATTTATTTGATCCTTCCAATGAGATTACATCAATCGTCTGAAAAAGTTAGGCTGAGAGAAAGCTGTACAATAACAAAAAATAAAATAAATATATTAAACAAAAATATGGTCCATACAAACACAATGTCCTAAAATAAAAGATTTAAAGCAGGCTTATACATTAAATAAAACATAAAACAATTAAACAACCAACATAAGTAGGATTTTATAAAAATTTTAACCTAAACCTTGATAACTAAGACCCAGGCAGGAATGAAACAGCGGATAAGTTTATTGCCAGAAGATCAATAATTGCAGTAGTTAGAGTTATTGTATCTCCTGAGATAGTTCCTATCGAACAAAGGTTTCATCTTAAAATGGCAATGTGAGACTTCCTTACTCAAGAACTGAATAATCAGGTAAACAAGTTTCAAGTTTACCCACGCACCTACAAAAATTTTTTTAATATTCTGAAAACAGTGTCAAATAGTTACATATCTCTAGATTGTCACAGTACATTTCAGAAGTAACTTATGCCTAACTACGAACTTGCTCAAAGAGTACCATACTAATAATTATAAGATATATTCCTTCTCTGATAACAACAACTTATGAGGCTGGCTGCTGTTTAAAACCTGAGTAGCGATCCTGCTGCATTATTTCTCGATCTTTTAAAACTAACTCCATAACAAACAGTTACTAGCTATTACTGAATGGCAAGACTAAACACAAGAATAAAAAATAGGTAAAGAAATAATAGATAAGACTTACTCACAATCAATTTAATTTAACTATCAGACGACCGGTTTCGCTTTCTACAATATGCAAAGCATCTTCAGGTCTCGATACAAAGTTAAACAAATGCTGAAATGATTAAAATCCCATATTAGGGTGTTGTCTAATAAGGATAAACAAATTAGATGTTATAAATTACAATAATTATGCCAATATTACATGTCTGTGGTTTTATTTAAATGATTAAGTTGAATAAAAGGTATACAATTTTTTTAAAAAGGTTAAACAGACAAGGTAAGGCCCACAAATTGTTATAAAATAGTCTCTTCGATTGTAATAAATTAATAAATGAGCAAATAAATAAATAAAATAAACATTACTTACATGCCGGTACTCTATTAATAGATGGATGGTAGAACATGTTTGAAACTACTTTATATTGTTGAATGGAGAACTCAATACTATTATTGCAGTTGTTTGACAGTAAACGGGAAGTTCTTGAGGAGATAGATTTGATCCAATGAATTTGAGATATGTTTGAGATTGTTTGTTAAATGTAAGTGATGTAATATACTATTGTGTTATTAAAAGTTATTTATACTTATTCTAGAGATATATTTTTGAAATGTGTGTTATTTATTGAGTAATTGTTTTATGAAGGTGACAGTTTTATGACAATAAATAAGTGTAGATGTAAAAATTGTGTGGGTGTGCAATTATTTTCAAACTTGTAGTTATCAAATTACTTTGATAAAGTTCTATTGGCAATGAGTTAATTATTGGAATAGTCAAGTGAATAAAATGGTAAAATACAAACAATTAAGGATAATTTAAACACACTAAAACAGAAAACACTTAGAAGGGACGAAACAAACATTGAATTTAAAAGGGGGAAGGACTTTAATGCACTACATCATAGTCTTGGGCACAATGAGTTTTTTTATTGTTGTATCTATTAAATTTTAGTGGTAAATTTTGACAGATGTAGGTTAGCATGTGACAGTTCTTCTTCTGTTTCTCAATACTGTAAGTTAAGTTATCTAGTTTCATAAAATATGCTGTTATTAATGAATGTCTATAAAACTGTTTCTATATCTAGTTTCATAAAATATGCTGTTATAAATGAATGTCTATAAAAAAAAATTTTTTTTTAAAGTGTTACTTAAAACAATTGTACAAACTCACCATTGTCCATGTAGGTGTGAGGAATATCTGTTCATATGACACCGAAAATTGAAATAAGAATAAAATTACCTGATACCGGTTTAAATAGACGATCATTCTACCTGTTCGTATAACAATTTCCGGTTCCAACTGTCGGATATTAGAACTACCCAATAATTATTGAAGGCTTTATAATTCAGTCAATTTCTTGAGCCCACAAATTAATTACCATCAATAATTATCCATTTGTTGCTTTGGTTACATATTAGTATATTAGATATTAATATATCAGATTTTGAAAAAATATCTCTAATAATTAAAAAATACCCGGACAGATACCTCATACCTACATCAATTTCAAATAAAAAATAAAAAACTTTGTAAACTTATTATACATTTGATTATTAAATGTACATGTTCAGTTGCAAACAAATTTACTTTAATTGGTTCAGTAATTTAGACATTAGACTGAGTTAGTTATATTGTAGGATGTATTTCAATTAACCATATTTTTACATTAAATTTGATTAATTAAAGATTGTTAAAGTATGCCAATATTAAACACATCAATTTACTTTTGATATATCTAAATTAAAACAGTTTTATAGACATTCATCAATAACAGCATATTTTATGAAACTAGATAACTTAACTTACAGTATTGAGAAACAGAAGAAGAACTGTCACATGCTAACCTACATCTGTCAAAATTTACCACTAAAATTTAATAGATACAACAATAAAAAAACTCATTGTGCCCAAGACTATGATGTAGTGCATTAAAGTCCTTCCCCCTTTTAAATTTAATGTTTGTTTCGTCCCTTCTAAGTGTTTTCTATTTTAGTGTGTTTAAATTATCCTTAATTGTTTGTATTTTACCATTTTATTCACTTGACTATTTCAATAATTAACTCATTGCCAATAGAACTTTATCAAAGTAATTTGATAACTACAAGTTTGAAAATAATTGCACACCCACACAATTTTTACATCTACACTTATTCATTGTCATAAAACTGTCACCTTCATAAAACAATTACTCAATAAATAACACACATTTCAAAATATATCTCTGGAATAAGTATAAATAACTTTTAATAACACAATAGTATATTACATCACTTACATTTAACAAACAATCTCACACATATCTCAAATTCATTGGATCAAATCTATCTCCTCAAGAACTTCCCGTTTACTGTCAAACAACTGCAATAATAGTATTGAGTTCTCCATTCAACAATATAAAGTAGTTTCAAACATGTTCTACCATCCATCTATTAATAGAGTACCGGCATGTAAGTAATGTTTATTTTATTTATTTATTTGCTCATTTATTAATTTATTACAATAGAAGAGACTATTTATAACAATTTGTGGGCCTTACCTTGTCTGTTTAACCTTTTTAAAAAAATTTTATACCTTTTATTCAACTTAATCATTTAAATAAAACCACAGACATGCAATATTGGCATAATTATTGTAATTTATAACATCTAATTTGTTTATCTTTATTAGACAACACCCTAATATGGGTTTTTATCATTTCAGCATTTGTTTAACTTTGTATCGAGACCTGAAGATGCTTTGCATATTGTAGAAAGCGAAACCGGTCGTCTGATAGTTAAATTAAATTGATTGTGAGTAAGTCTTATCTATTATTTCTTTACCTATTTGAAATGGACTCACACAAGCAACACATTCATGATTTTAAAAGAATAAAAATATATAATGAAAGGTCTTGACGGGAAAAGAAGTTCTTGATCAAAATGTTCATCCTTAAAGAACATCAAATAACTATTTGTCAATCAAAAGAAAATAAAAACTGCTGATCAGCCAATGGCTCGTAAAGATGATGAACAAATATTTTGAAAGCTGCAACTTTCCGAAATTCTCTAGGAAAACACTCTGGAGAAAATTACATTCCTGAAGATGGATTGATGAAGATATCATCAACAGAGCCAAAACTCTTTTGCTGAGTCGAGCTACTATGCTACGTCTACAAAATGTTTAAAAGGATGGTTCTGAAAATAATTGCCTTCACTGTAGATGGAAATATTATTTCACAAGTTGGTTGATTAGTACACAGAGGATAGATTTTAAGAATAGTAATGATTAACTCTACTGTAGCTATATTTACAGACGTTTCTACATCTTATTATACGGCTAACCGTCACAAACCGCTTGCCATGATATACCAACTCACTAAAAACTTTCACTCTATAAGTGTAATTAAGTGTATGTTCCAAATGAGAATATTTTACTATCTCTACAAGATAAAAAGAGAATTGAAAAAAAAAACGGTTTGTATTAAGGCAGAGCTTTGTCCTCTAGATTATATAATATATAATATTTACATCCATGATTAACTTAGTCTGAAAACCACCAGAGGATATGGTTATGCGAATGATACGACTGTTTTACAATTAAGCAAGAATATATGATGATTCGGAAACGAACATATCATACCTCTAAAATAAATATCCAGGTATAATCATGCAAGGACCAATTCGGACAAAATACACGTTTCTGTGTTTCACCAGTGTTTATAAGGAAGCTATGAGAGAGCTGAATATGTGAAATGTGACTGTAACACTACAAATACTTAAATTCTACTAATGTCACTAGTCACCAAAATATTCCTATCTTTATCTGAATCTTTTTGCCTGAATCTATCTATTGTCTTATGATATCTGTCTTTCTTGATTTAACTAAGTTTAAGAAACTATCTATAACAATTTTCATACCTAAAAAAATATTGTGTTATAACTTACCTTTTGTGAGGAAAGCAATGGTTGGGTCTTCTCCAAACGGCGCAACTTTTTTCTTAAATTGCTCAGTCTTCGTTTAAACTGGAATAAATATTATTATGTATATATAGATATATACTGTTCCGAAACGTTTCCGCAGTTAGTACCATTAAACCTAGAGCTAAGATTAATTCTATTACAGGAATTAATATTAAACTAAACAAACTTCCGTGTTTTGACATCCGAGCTTTCGACCTTTTCGATGTCTTGTTTAGGGCTTCCGAGGTATTAGTCCTCAGAAACTCCTATACTAATCACTAACCAATGCATTCTGGTACTGGGAATAGAGGACGGTTCATTTATGCCGTCGATGATGACGCGGTTTGGGTGGAGTTTGGCGTAAGGGTTAGCGTGGGGATTGGCACGGGGATTGATGCGGGGGTTGGTGTGAACATTTCTGACAGTAGGATTTTGATTGACGGTTTATGGAATGTCTTTAAGTCGAACGTAACCGTATGCCGTCATCATTTGTTAGCTGTTTTCAATTTCTATGGCCTCTCGGATAATTCTTGGTTTGTAGAAGCGGATATGGGCTATTCTGGAGTTATCACAATCAATTTTGTGACCTATATGAAAATGATAAATTGAGTTGGAATTGCGAACAGAAATAGAATGTTCATTAATCCTATTTTGGATTCTACGATTTGTTTGGCCTATATAACATTTTATTTTAGTCCAAGCTGCTACAAGTGTTCTTGATAAGAGCTGAATAGCTAGAAGTACGTATAGAACAACGGTGGCGCTTGCATTTAAAATAAATGCAATCGTTTACTTTTATTTCAACGTTTTTTCTGGAAGTAAAGAAAGCAAAAGATGGTGTTTTACAATGGTAAACTAGCGAAATAAAAGGTTATCCCTAACATCGTCCAATAGCTGAAGGAACGGACCCTAAATAATATATTACTAACTACCATTCTGTGGTGTTGACTGAATATTCATTTTTTTGTGAAAATTAGTATTGTGTTTTATACATCTCAGACATAAAAAATGTTACTTACCCTATGATCGTTAATACAACATACAAAAATATAACTTTCAGAAAATACCTTCCATCTTTCCTTTCATAAATTCCAAACCTTGGTGCAGGATTTTTGTCCATACATTTTACAAATACAATAAATAAACATGAAATTAAAAGGCATGCGATGTCTAAATAAAACATTGTGTACCTAATAATTAATCATTTTAGTACACATAAATATCTTAAGATAATTTATCTGAAGACATAATTATCAACTTATCATTTCTGATAATTTCATAATGATAGCAAAGATTGAACAATGTAAATAAATTGTGAACTAACGATATTATGTATTTAGTTAAGTAATAAATATTAAAAATCATACTTTAAGATAAGGCGTGCCTGAAAATTTAGTTTCTGTCAAAAATATAGAAGCTATTACAGGAATTTTTGTGTAATTGATAAATAAAGTAGAATAACGTAGTTATTCAAACTCACATTTTTACATACATAAATTTAAAAACAGATTGCCAGTCAAATAAAAGTGGCCGCAAATATCTTTAATTCAATTAAGAGTAATTCATTTTTGAACAAAAATATTATTTCATTCATTTATTTTTTAAATAAAATACGCTGGTAACAAATAACGTATTGCTGATAAAATATTGTTCATTTATATCAAATTAATGATAATTTTTTTTAAGGTTATCGGAGAACAAATGGTCACTAATTAGGGTTGCTAGCTGTTAAAAATGCGAAGTATCAAACATAAAGTAAAATAGAGTTAGCGCGCAACTCTCTCTCTCTCTCTCTCTCTCTCTCTCTCTCCTCTCTCTCTCTCTCTCTTCAACCCCCAAATCGGGCCTTGGCCTCCTTCAAACTATGCCGCCAACTTTGCCGGTTCCACGCCCATTTTCTCCAGGTTCTCACATTAGCAAATTTTGCACGTCCGCTGCCACTTCATCCTCCCATCTGGTTTGTGGCCTTCTTTTTGGTCTTGCGCCCTGCATTTTACTATCTAGGGCTCCTTTTGGCAATCTTTCAGTCTCCATCCTCACTGCATAACCAGCCTATCGAAGTCTTTAAAGTTTAACAGTTGGTAAAGCTTTGTCCATAAAATTGTACAATTTTCAGTGACAATAAAGCATATTTCTATTCTATTCTAAAATAAATCGTTTGCACAATAAACTTTGTTTTATTTATAACACATTTAATCTCTTATTTTTTTCTCTATAATACAATTCCTTCTATTGTCTGTCTGCATAGATTTTGCTCCAGCTAATCTTTAATAATTACGTTAACTTCAATACTTTAATGGGTAGGTTTATATATCATGAAAAATAAGCAGAGTTTGAAAAATTTTATTTGATTTGATTTTAAGGGTTTTTAAATCGCAATTATATTAAAATTTTCAAACTTTATACTAATTTCATTAGATTATTTAGAACCCATACACCACTGTGTGATTATTGTGAAGTGTCGTAAAATTTAAATTTGGCGCCTTTGCATTTCCGAATATGTCCGCCCTATTAAGAGGCCACTTTTATGAATTTTGGTCTTCTTTTCATTACGATTAGATTCCTTCTTTTGTCTTTTTGCTCGTTGCTCAATACTCTTACCTGTAAGACCTTTAAGGTTCCAAGACCGTAACCTAACTTTTTTTGTGTTCTCCAAGAAAAAGTTCTTCCCTGGAAATCTCAGGAGAGAATATTTTATCTCAGGACCTCTACTTTCTCAGGATCAGGACTCACTAAAATTTCAATATAATTTTTGTTTTGTTGGCTTTTTTATTTCTATAGCCTAAAACTAAAAATATTTTATGACATTTGATGCCTGAATGCTTTTTCATCAACATTATGTTTAGCGGGATTTGGCCAACATAATTTAGCCAATGTAGGATACACACAATATAAATATATAAGAAACATATATAAATAAAACCATACCAAAATATTACTTTTTATTTCCTTTAAAATGTAATTGACAACCACTGCCATGTACAGATAATTAAAATCTTGTACAAATAACCAAGATTTACAACTAAAAATACACCATTTTCAGCAAGTTGTACATGTTGGAACACAGGCACATGGATCTCCTGCTGGACAACAAGGGGTTATAATATACGTGATAGTACATGGCGGTGCAAAAACTGGATACGGTATGGCGGGTAATGGTGGGCAAGGCGTACAACAACACATGTCGCAACTTGTAGAACAGGGGCTGCAGGGTGAACAAGAATTTGAAACGTTACATGGAGGACAGCAGCTCATGGTTCACTTTTAAATTTAGTGTAATATAAGACCAAAACTTTTGACAAGATTAATTAATTAAATTGACAGAAGACATTTAGAAGTTGGCGATCATATTTGTTGTCTACAAAAACAAAGGTGATATTGAGCAACGGATAAGACAGAACTATATATTAATAACTGAATTCCGTTCCAAACTGTCTAGAGTATTAACGCAGAAAAAGCAGTTGCGTCACAACTGAAAGATGAACAATATTGTCCAATTGCTTAAGGAGTTTTTAGTTAGCAAATATTTGTTTGATGCGCCATTATAAAAAATTTGGATCTCACATGTTGGTTAAAATTGTTAAATTGTATAATTATTTTATATTCTCTATGTTGTTAATTAAAATGAACAAATTTAATAAAAAACCTTCATTGTTGAGAATAGTCTTTTTTTTTGTGTGAGTGGAAATCTTTTAAATACCGTACCAGGTGAATCGTACCTGGCGTGAGTTGGATTCAGAATAGATCTCCCAAAAGACGATCTACTCTGAATTGTCCCTGAATGCATCCATGATATTCTGCTTACCAACTAAAACTACTCTTGACTTACGCACGAGGCAAGCCTTTCCAGACCGTTCTCTTGTCACCAGGCTACCCTTTCCTTATCTTTTCTTCTTTTCTCTGTTTTTTATGTTTGCCCATGATATCTCTCTCTATCCAAAATCTCTTTCTTTTAACAATTTTTGTCACAGCCTCTAGTACTTCGGTTATCTTATTTTCTCCTCTTTCAACTACGGTCATAACATTGTGTGCTCCAAAGATACTTACCTCTTGCATATAGCTCCACTCTTTCGTCATTGAAATTAATCCATTCGAATACACAGTGTTCTGCAGTGTCGCTTATTTACAGTCCACACAGCTACCATATATTGCCTTACCTATCCTGTCAAGGTATGCTCTAAATGACCCGTGTCCCATAAGGAATTGCGTGACGAAGTAGTTCATGCTTTTATATTTGCACTCCACCCACTCACCTACTCTCGAGATCAGTCATTGTCCATGCAGTCCTCCGCTCATTCACCCACTCTTCCTGCAATTTAGTGATGGTTTCTCTTCTTTCTTCTCTCTTCTCTTGATTACTCTCGTCGTATGTTTTGGCTCTCTAATTTACCTGCAAATGTATTGGTAGTACCCCAACTATAACTTGTAGGGCTACTGTCGAGGTAGTTCTATAGGTGCATACATTTAATAGGTCTTTTCTTACGACTTCCATTAGAATTCTTTTCTTCCAGTATCTGAACTTATACTACTGAACACTATATATTTTTGGCATAATTTTTGCCACCGTTGATCTGTTTTTTCTTATTTGCAGCATATTTTATATTTTACCCAAATATCTGCTTATTGTTCAGACTAAGTATTTAAACATTATGGCTGACATTATTCGTTCCCATTCGAGAATGAAGATGTTTTCTTTATCTGTAGGTCCTTTTAGTATGAAAGCTATCGTTTTTTGCATAGCAAGTGTTAACTCTTGTTTTTTCGACCATGTTTTTACCCTTTTTTGGGCAGCATTGGCTGAGTTCATTATAAGCCAGTTTTCACTGTGCTCTATTAGAATGACCAGGTCAGCCGCGTAACCTATAGCCTGTGTATCCTTTCTTCTAGATCTTCTAGTATATCATTGTAGAATATGATCCAGAGCAACAGTCCTAGGACCGAGCCCTGCGACACCTCCGCCGATGTCTTTATAACATCTCTCCTCACTATGTTAGTCTACTTGAGAAGTACTCCTTTACTTTGTTTTTTAGGTATGGTTATAGTTCTAATTACCCAGCATTCCAGTTAATACTCTTCATTTTGCGCAGTAGAAGGCATTTTTTATGTCCAGAAAAAAGCCGCCAATTGCCTGCTCCTATATGTGGTAGTTACTTCCCTGATTCTAGTGACTACTATGCTGTTGACAGACTCAAATTATATTCGGCTATGATTGAGTTTGGAATATCAAAAGAATTGGTGCTTAACCCAGCGTTAGAAAAAGTTCTTAGTAGTATACTTAGTAGTAGTATACTTCTTCTTCTTCTTATAGTGCCGTGCACCTATAGTGTGTTGGCGAATTATCTTAAGGCCAGACATTTGTCTTTTGCCGCATGCAAAAGATCGCCAGTGTTATTGATGCCTGTCCTGTTTTTTATGTTCCGTAGCCACGACATTTTTTTTTGCGACCTACTTCTCTCTTGCCTTCAATCTTTTCCTGGATGATTAGTTGAGAGAGTATAGAAATAATGGCACATGCTGATGATATCGTGATCATTGGAAAAACCCGAAATTAAACAGTTGACGTAATATCTCCCAGAAAACCAAGTAGATGCAGGCTATATAAAGACTGCAATAAAATAACTTAAAGTGAAACATAAAACTATAGAAACTATGAGAGAATTTTACTACTTGGGGTGACTGGTGGATTACAAAACAACACAACCAAAGAAATAAGAAAAATAATATGCGTAGCTAACTGCTATCTTTTTGGCCAAGGCCCTCAACTAACAGCAACAGGTGCTAATTGAATGCCAACTAAACATAATTAGGAGTTGATAATTCAGTATGAATGATTTAAAAACATAATTTTAAGCACTGTTTTAGAAGATTTTATTATTTACACAAAGATTTTATCTGCAAACATTCAATAGCAGTCTGAATTAACGCAGAGTAGTCTCTCTAGTGCTGTTCACTCAAGAATTTTAAAGTTTTTTGGTCATATCCATCGAAGTGATCACACACGTAGCGTTTGATGGTCCACGGAAAGTTTACTCTAGAATTTTAAAGTTATTTGGTTATATCCATAAAAGAGATCACACAAAGGAGCGGTTGTGGGTCCAAGAAAGGCTTCAGAGTCAACGCCAATGCAACAGATATCGACAGCCATGGGCAGACATAACGCAAAAGCTTCTCAACAAACAGAAAACTGAGGCAGTGCATATAACGGAGTACTGCGATCAGTGGAGAAATATCATTAATCAAACTATCCGGGCTGCTGAAGCTAAATGATGAACCACAACATATCTGCTAGGATGTTAATGACCATAACGATGATCCTAAATTTGGTTACTAAGGGGATAACACAAGCAATTGTTTTAAATTCTCTAGTAATTTATAAAACTGTAAAAAAATTAACGGAAAGTGAAAATAGTTGTATTTTCTTTTAGAGACGCAATACATTTCTCAATTATAACGTTATTTTATATTTTTTTTACTTGGCTGTTATAGCTTGTTTATACTCTTGTCACTGTAGCTTAAATGCGAATAGTAATGACATTTTAAAGGCATAGTGGCATAACTGCATGTTTCTTTGGATTAAGTCAATTGCTGGTTGTTTATTACAAATACTTCAACAAGCAAGAAGACGTCATAATTTAGTAGCTCTAGCTGGTAGCTCTAATGTGGAATAAACGTCCCTGGTGATCAATGTCTCTTTTCCATTTATGCCGGTTTGATTTCACAGCAACGATAATATATATATATAATATATATATATATATATATATATATATATATATATATATATATAATACCGTAAATATAATATGTTAATTAAATGAAACAGTTCAAAGAAAATCACAATATTATATTTATTTTATTAAATTTTGATTACAAAGTTTATCCCATGGAGTATATACGTCATTTTTATCCCAATTGGAAGGAATTTATGTCTACTAGCACAACATCGAACAATATAAAATTATTTAATCGACAATCTTACTAATAATACTCATTTGTTAAGAATTATCTGTTTAGTATTCAAATTTTTAAACGAAGTGGACTTTAAACAATTTTGTACAAAGGCGGACATATCCCTCGCAGAACTATAAGCAACATTGATCTTGGCGGATACCACTCCCCTGTTTGTGATTAAAAGTTTTAACCATTTTACTTTCCTTGTTTCCGTGTTTTCCTCCTTGACGACTGGCTTACAATTTCAACATACTTCGTTGATTATGAAATTAATAAATCCATAGATATCTTCTAGCAGCACTAAAACAAAGAATAGGTTGATTATAATAGTTGTGTTTCAAGAAATATTAATATTAACTTAAGTAGGTACACAGCAATGGTTTTTTACTTATATAGTAATAATGTAGTAGTAATACAGTATTTAACAGAGAATTGGAAAAAATTATGAATAAAGTGAGCACGGTGTATTTCTCTAGATGTCATATAAAAATGATAGCCCTTAGCAATATAATTAAAACAACGTTGATATCTTTCAACAAAAGTCAACGACTTATTTTAAATGTTCCAAAGAAGAACCTCCAACCTCCGTAGGGAGACGGCACTCTAAGAAGAAGTAGAAAGAAGAACAATATTAGAATAAGGTTTTCCACGCTGCTAAAATAGAACTGGGATAAAAAGTAGGTTCAAATGCAGAAAATGAGGTTAATATCTGGTAGTCTATAATGTGACAATACCGAAAATAACTCACCGTACTAGGAGGAATATAACAGTTTTAACTCTTGTATGGCTGCCAAAGCAGTATACAGAGCAACAAAAGTGCTGCTGAGCTTGCAAATGAGAAACTTGTTAGTAACCGAAAAAGTTTAGATGAGGACACATAACTGCCAACTGGGGAAGAACACGAGAATGCAGACTGATGGAGATTAACTACGTTGAACTTAGTAGTTAGTTGGATAATTGGTCCTTATAAGCTACTTTCCTGTTGAGCTCTTCAAACACTGAGATAATTTAGTATACTTATAGGTGAAATTTGCAAAATGCCATCATTAGTCCAGCATGTCAATGTAATGATGACAGAATATTTCTCAACCTTTAATCATAACATATTCTTAACCACTGCAAAAACCCGAATATTATAACCCAACTCAAACCACACAAAACCCAACTGAAAAGCCTGGAAATCATTGAAAATCCAAATACCAGCCCAAACAAAAGAGTAGTAAAGTCAACGATTATTGGCTAAATTTGCCAGTTCCTACTTTTGAGAAATTTGAAGTTCTAAGCAAAAAACACTGAGGAATTAGACAAACCTCCACCAATCTTTATTCAAGGAGTAAAAAATATACTTAACTCCACTAATGGAGCTACATCTAAAAGCAAAAAATAATTATGAACTGAAAGT